ATTTAGGCTTAAAGCCCGTGCCTGAGGTCAAGCCCGATTTTTCCAACCCGAGCTTAGCCCGTAGTGTAATTTGATACACTCGGGATAGGCTTGGGCCCGGGCTTGGGTTGGCCAATGAACACAATCTAAAATTATATATATATATATATATATATATATATATATATATATATATATATATATATATATATATATATATATATATATATATATATACAAATATTTATGTATATATGTATGTAAAATATATATGTAAGTAGATAAATATGTATACAAATGTATGTGTATGTGTATAGTTGGGCCGGGTTCAAACTATCTAAGGGCTAGGCCCAGGCCCGAGCCCAGCCCATGTAAATTTTGGGCTGGGCCGGTTCAGGCTTGGATTGAGTGTGCCTAAATTGCACCCTTATTTGGTATTCAAAATTGGGTATTCGTGTGCATTAATATCATTGACACTTTTTTTTGTTATTTTTTTACATTTTTTTCATGTGATAATCATTAAGGCTCAGTTTGGAAAGAGTATAAATATAAATATGTATAGTATAAATACATACAAAATACAAGATTTTGTACTCTACAAATTTGTATTTATACTCCTTCCAAACTGAGCCTAAAGAGAATTGGACCCAAAGTTCCAAAGTTTTAAATTCCTACATAACCCCTCTGGCTCTATTCCTGATTTCTATATGGGCCAATCGCCTAAAATTACTTCACTTCTCCAAATGGTAGGATTCTTGGGCCTGGTTGGGTGGGTTAAAGCCAACCCAAGTCCAATTACCCAATCCCAGCCAAGGGTGTCTCCAACTACGGTGATCATGTGATGGGCTGGCCAGCCTGGCCCAACCCACGCTTTTAGACCTAGGAATGTTTTTTTGAGTTTTGACTTCAAGATGAGTGATAGACTTGATGAAATGGTTAACCTATTGTATACACTATACTCTAATCATTATAAAACACTAAGGATAGTGTGCCATTTAATGCTGTGATGTATGGTTTGTAAATCTAAAAAATAAAAAAGAAGTAAGATTATGCAATATATTCAATAATCTTGATGGAAAAAGCAGCACTTATCTCCTTGTTAATTATAGATGCAATTTGGGTGTTTCTAATTTAAGCTCGAATTGATCTAGCCGAAATTTTACTTGGGTTGGTTTTAGATTTTTGGTCTTTGGGTTGGGCTTAAACTCAAGAATTCAAGCTTTTTTATTTTTCGAGTTGGGTACCCAAACCTGGCTTGATTGTACACATTCATACATATATAGATATTGGGGGTGAGCAAAATGGGTAGATTCTACCCGAAACCAAATGGAACTGGCCCTATCCAATTTATTATAGGGTAGGGTCTGGTTCCAAATTCTTGGAACCGGCCCCCACCCAAGTCGGTTCTAGGGTCTAGGGGTTTACCCTACCCGAATCGACCTGATGAATCGGCCTTGGTTGGCCTTGAAACCGAACTTGCCTTGAAATAAACCCCATAAGATTTTTAAGGATGTCAACCCTGGTGTCACTTGACCATCGATTTAATTAAGTGGTTTGATCATTTGTTTTCATTTTAATATTTTCATGTGTATAATAAATAATGTAAAAGGTAATATTTACAAAATTTAAATTATAATGACATTTTCAACTATATATTAATATATTATGACAATCTATATATTAAATTACTCAATTTAATCAATAAAGATAATATAAGTTTTAAACTATATATTATCATTATTGAAAATCAAATTTTTGAAGGACATATTTATTTATTTTTCTTAAAGGAGGAGAATAAAGAAATAACAGGTTCTACGGGTAGACTCTAGAACCAACCCCATAACTTCCAAGGCCAGAGCCGACATTCGTAGGGTAGGTTCCAGTTCCAAAAACCTAAAACCGACCCCTACAGGGTAGTTTCCAGGTTCTGCTATGGAACCAAACCGAACCGATCCATACTCACTCCTATATAGATATATATTTACATATATACATACATATTTGTGTGTGTATATATTAGAGGGAGTTCATTGATTGACCCAAGCCTAGCCCAGGCCCAAACCCAACCCAAGTGTATCAAATTTCAATATAGGCTAGGCTTGAATTCGAAAGATCATGATTGATTTTGGGTTCAGCCTATACTTGGGCCTTAAGACCAAATCTTAGGATTGGGCCTGGGTAAATTATAAACCCAGCCCAACCCGCCTGACTTGCACCCCTATTCTTAATTCAAGTAATTCTTAAAAAACAAATCCTTACAAATTCTAGTCATTTACATTTAAGGCGCCACTCATATGGATCCACTGAGAATGCAAACTTGATGATGACATAGGGAAACCTGATTCATGTTTGTACTTTGATCATGCCAATGAAGACGAGAATAAAATATTTTTTATTCACTAGAATAAAAACAAGATTTTTAAACTATCCAAAATGATTGATAAAAAAAGCGCCAACAATTGCTTTGTATTTCTGCATTATTCATCTAATTCTATGGATGTGTTACGATTTATTTGTCCCAAATTAGTACGGGATGCTGTTGTGGGGTATATATGTGCTTGGGTTCTCTTCCTCAACAGCTAGCTTTTAAGGGTGAGTTCTCCTAACAAATGGTATTAGAGCCTACACTATGCCTCTCAGTTACAATTATGCGGCGTAAGTGATGATATCAGTATTGTAGTGTTCAATCGGGAGTAGGTGGATTAGTGCAAAACCAATTTGCATGGGTGCCGTGACTGCGAAAAGTGGTGAAATATTAAGATCTATTTATTCCATATTGATAGTATGAAATGCTAATATGAGATATCCCCATCGATAATATGAAATGCTGTTATAGGGTATATATGTACTTAGATTTCCTCCCTCTAACAGTTACCTTTTAGGGGGTGAATTCTCCTAAAGGACATAACAGGATGATAAAAAGACAAATCATTATGAATACTCTTTTGTGACCGTTTGGGAGGGTTGATGAGCCGAACATTCTCAACAAAGTTATTTCTTCTGGTCTAATATAACGAGGCTGAAGGAGACCGGAAATAGCCCAAGAGATGACTGACAGTTGATTTGGGGGCTCCCAATTTTTTACAACAAAGCTTAAAAAGGTGGCATGTTTAGGGCTCACCTTAGAAAGCCAAAAGCCGCTCTACATTAACCACCCAAACGGGTTATTGGTATGAACCTGCTTCTGAATTTCTGATTTTTTTGTTTTTCTATTTATCATAACACCTTATTCATGAATTTCTCCCATTTTATTGTGGAGTTGAAATCAGCCCCTCACAAGATAATTTACCACGTCTCACAGCACATTCTCATCGTGTATTGGGAACATCTTTCGATGATACTCTCAATACATGGCAGGGATGTGATGTGGGACGTTGTGGGAAATTATCTTATGGGGGCTAATTTCAATTCTTTATTGTGACGCAAAATGAAAGGAGACATTTGATTTATCATGTATTATTGATTAGAAAAGCTGGGTATAGTTAAGTGAGTCTGGATCTTTTGTTTACACAAATTTTGCCTACGTTTACCCACATAACATTACAGTCACATATGGAGAATATTTCATCTTCCTACATGGTATTATGCAGGGGGAGATGTTCTCAATTTATGGGAGGTAAGGTATTATGGGTAGACGTGGACAGGAGATTTGGAGTCAAGATTAAAGAATGGAAAATTCGAATAATACATAAATAGTCTTAATTAGACCTGTTCATGGGCCGGGCTTTGGACTTAACTTTATACTATGTCGGGCTCGGGCTTTGGGTCAGACCTATTTAAAATTTGGCAAAAGCCAAGCCCGAGCCCAACTCATGAATAGGTCTAATCTTAATTAAACCAAACAACCGATTTAGCAGATTGACCCATAACCTAACCCAAACCAATTTTTCTGGATCAGGCCGGGTCATTCTCAAATTCAGGTGGCTAAATATGAGACCCTAACCTTATTTTTGTGGTTAGGTTGAGTCGGATTTACGAAATGGGTCAACTTTTTGACAGGTCTAATTTTATGAATAAATAGTAAATGACCTTCTAAACCTTCTCACTGTAAACTTATTTTGAATCTTAACTAAAACATTATAATTTATCATATATTATATAAAGTGAATATTGGCTTATTTAAAATGCAGTCATTAAAAGTTAAATAATCCAAATAAATCTATGATCGTACAAAGATATCATATAAAAGAGCTCTGACCAATCAAATAATTGGTCACCTTTTTATGATGCCGTTTAATTGGTTGTAAATTTTCTGCAATCATGTGTTTGCTTTTGAAGGCTCTAAAATTAAATCAAATTACTCCATAGAAAAGTACATATATATGGTTTTTAATTTTTTTCTCCTTATATTCTTGCACTGGTGGGTTAAAATACGATCTTTGACGGTTGGTAACCTCGTACTCGTGATTCCATCCAGATCCTAATCCAACGGTTTTATTTTCTTATATCAGTTGATCATTCCAGATTCCAGATGTGTGGTGCAGGATGAATTTCTCCTCGCTACAAGAAAAATATATATTTGTGCAGCCGCTGTATCAGCCTTGCTCTATCATGTTAGGTGCGATTCGTAGCTGTGTGACGCTTGATGATCAATTGTGAAAACACGTAATACCCATCGTAACCTACAATGAGTGCAAATCGACAAATGGAATCCCACTATTCTCGAATCTCAATCTAACTTGCGCGCTGTGTGCAACCGCTCAAACTTCTTTGTCTCCTGGAGCTTTGACAAGTCTACTTATCGAGTGAGTGAAGGGCTGTAATCTAATTACAAAAATTCTTTCAGAATCTAACGGACAGGCTTGATTCTATTCATCCTAGCACTGTAGTTCTATTGCACATCAAATTTTCCGTCGATGGGATGGTATTTGTAGCCGGAAAAATTTGGCTGCGACCCGCGAGGGAATGGGCTAAGGCCAAGCCAAGCCCACTTTTTTGGTGCGTATCGCGCACAGCAGCGCATTATAGAGTATAAAAATAGCCCAAATTAAAACCCAAGAGCCCAATTGCATTGCCGAACGTTAAAACCGCTCTCTCTGTTCGCTTCGGAGTTTCTCTCTCCCGAGTCCCGTGTATATGAGCTTCCCGGCGTTTTCAGGGGTCGTGATCAACTGAATTCTTTCTCGTTTCTGTAGATTCCCGCGAACTCCACAGCTTCGTCTTTCAAATGCCCAGAAGTCGACAGCTGCAATTGATGTACCAGAGAAATTGAGAAGAAGGTAAGTTTCCACCGGAGCTCTGCCGCTCAAGCTCTCTTTCCGTCGGTTCATGGTGATTTCGGGAATTTCAGAAGAAGAAAGACTGTAAATTTATGGAGATGGGTCCTGAGAAATCAAAGCCTTTGCACAATTTCTCGATGCCTCGCTTGAAGTGGGGGAATCAGAAACTTCTCAGATGCATGAAGGTTGATTCAAAAGGAGAAATTTCTTCTGTCGAGCGCAGGTTTTCGGCTGCTGCAGGTCAATCGGGAGCTTCGATCATCCGAGGTAGAGAATCCCGGTCATTGAAGCGGAGGTTCTCGAATGGTTTCGAGAACTCCAGGAAATCGCCGTTGCCGCCGCCTATTGGAAATTCTGTTGAGAAATCCAAGATTGACAAGGATGGAGACGACGGGATTGAAGCAATTAGGGAAAAACTCGAGCTTCACCTCCGAACGGCTGCTGATAAGCTAAACGTTACGATTCCGGAGGTACGAGAAGAAAATGAAGCATCGGCAGCGGCGAGGCCCTGGAATCTCAGAACAAGAAGAGCGGCTTGTAAGGCTCCGACTGAGACTACTGCCGGAAGAGGAGGGGGAGGTTCCTCGATAAATGAAGAGCGTCAGCAGAACTCATCTCCTTTTCGAAATGGTAATTCGACGATGAAATCGAATCGGCTGCAAGGTGTAACTACAGTCCAGGTCGTGGAGAAGGACAAGAAAGAGCGTCCGAAGTTCTCGATCTCTCTTTCTCGATATGAGGTAGAGGAGGATTTTCTGGCAATGACGGGAACGAGGCCACCTCGGAGGCCAAAGAAGAGGCCTAGGATTATACAGAAACAACAGGATGTAAGATTTTCTCCCACTTCAAAATTCCACTTCCGCTTTGCAAAAATTGCTTCTGTTTCTTTCCGCAAATACATATACGCTTGTAAAACCTTCGGAGTTTAAGAGTTTTGTTATTTATCGCCGTCGGTAATGAAATTCTAAAGCCGGTAATTGGGTTTTGCAGGCAATTTTCCCTGGTTTGTGGTTGACGGAAATCACACCAGATACATACAAAGTTCCTGATCTTCCTGAACCTGGAAAAGTAATGGTTTTGTTTTTCACCCACTTGTTGTTATTAGATTCTCTGGTTTCTGCTTCCCCTCTTCTTTCATATAATTCCTGTACTGTTAAACTATAAACTAACATCTTGAGCATGGTTTCTGCAGAGATCAAGGTGAACCCACTAACGGTATTTGGAAATTTCAAGTTTTCTGCTTGCTGACCATGGGCACACAGTAATCTCAAATGGTGGTATATGAAACCATCCATCTGTAAATTGGGAATTTGATAAGAATGTTGAATTTCCTGTTCTCTTAACATGATGTGCAAGTTCATTTAAGTTCAGTCCCATTTATTGTCTCCATTTTGATTCCTTTCTCTGCTAAAAGTGACATAAACAGAATAGATTCTTCGAGCTTGATTTAGTGAATACCAAGTAACATCTGTTCTGGGTAATGAGGAATTCTATCAGTTGCATGCCATGACCATGAAGATAGTTGCTTGTCTATTCAGTTAAGAGCTTAACATCAGATTGTGAAGTTCATATTTTAGCTGGCTTTTCAGCTGATTGACTCCACTATAAATGGGTGATGCAAGAATTGACCATGATGCAATTACTATATGTATTCCTTTCCATATTTATGATGGATGAGTTATTCTATTGTGGAGCAAAATTCAGATATTCAGGTAGGCATAGGTTTAATGGTGATTACTATCTCGTGTCATGGAACTTGGTGAAAATAATGTGAACAATGAGAGACAGATAAACCCAGGCAAAATTTCTATGTTACTGGTAGGACCAACCGTTGAAACTCTGCTACATTCTCCCAAACACCAGAGCAATTTATCCACAATAATTTTGTTGTTGTACTTGATAATTGATCCCAAAGCTATTGGGTTTCCTTCTGTTGAGATTTTAAAATTTGTTTGAGGGAGAACATTTTCATTTATACATTGGCCTTCTATTTGATTGGATTTTGATTATTGCTCAATCTTATTTGGTGCTCTGCGCATGCTAGAAGGGGATGGACTGCATCTGAGACTGAATGCCTCATGAAAACTGCATAAAAGCACGACTAGGATCACCTGGAAAATGGCTGTTCCAGCCATACGTGGTCACCTGGAAGATAAAACCAGTCAATCATCTCCTTCTTGTTCCTTACTAGAATTTGGATTTTAACTGTTAGTTCTTTCATCGAATCTAATGGAATAGAATGGTAGTCCATTAAGTGTAGCTCTTGCTTCTCGATCTCTGCTAGATACGCAAGGAAGGACCACCAGGATTAGGAATTAGGATAATAACAAGAAGAGGTGAAGAGTAATAAATTAATAATTCAGAAAAGAAGATATGTAATGGGTAGTGACCATTGACCAGATACTTTTTGTATAAACTTTTCTGAAAAGATTTTTTTGTACGGTCAATGATGTTTGAACTTTGAAGTTTGAACTATTGGTATGCAGTTTGTTGTGTTGTGCACGCCGGGATAGATTTTCATCTGGTTTTTAAAATCGTTAATCGTCTGATCAAATCATATTTTTGGGAAATTGTCGTGTCCAAGAGAACTGCCTTCTCAGGCTATGTTTTGTAATGTGCTGTCTGTCACATTTTCTTGGCAAGATGTGTGTTGAAATGAAAGGTGAAGCTTTGCAGGTTGCACTCTGTGAAGTCTGAATTACGCGGCCTTTTCACTTCCTTCTTACGCGGCAACTTTTTTTCTTTTTTCCTTCTTAAAGAAACCCGGTGGGCGAAAACGTCCAACTTAGACGTCGGAAAAATTGGAGGAGATAACGGAGGAAGCAAATTAACAGATAATAAACTCGTTCAACATCAAAGGCTCGAAATAATGATCAAGGAGAACGAAGAGTTACTAGTTGTGGGTCTCATTCTGCTTCAATGTAATCCTTGGAAAAGATAAGGCTTTGGTTCGCATGAATAGGGATCTGGAATCTAATCAGAATGGGCTATTTTGATTCGGTTGAACGGAATCGGAATCTCATTTCTTTTCTTGTCGTGGCCATTCCCTGCCCTCCTTTGGGAATGAAATTTTATTCCTGCTGGTCGACTGTAATCAAACGGGACACAAGAAAAGGGAAAACAAATCCGATATTAGTGAAATTTGGTCACAATTCCCACCACTTCAACGTGTTGATGAATGATCAATCAAAGATGCATAGACAGAGTCACAGAACAAAGAGGAGAGCAAACAGAATTTCATATTTGCTCGCTTTCGGCTTCAGCTATTTCACAATCTCACAGATAGGAATTGCAACGGGGCGGAGCCTCTCCCCATTTTTGTTCTCGCGAAAATCTCCATCTCCATTTTCGTTAATAGGGACAAAGTTATCCTCATTCTTGTTCTCACGAGGATCCCCATCCTGTGGAGATCCTCATTCATCGTGATTTTTTATAATGTTAATCATTTTGTTTTTGTTTTTATAGAAAAATAAAATTAAAATAATTAAAATTTATAATCCTATTAGAAAATATTTAATTATATTTTTAAAAAATATTAATATATAGATATATCTCGGTATTGGTAGGATACACGTCTAGTCGTGTGACAAGATATAGATCAATATATCACACTGTATCGATCAATACGTTCCGATACACACTGATACACATGCACATCTCTTGTCTTATTTATAAAATTCTCTATGAAGATTCAAACTCAAGTCTCAACACCCATACCACTATTTGCTACCATTCTAAGCCACTGTGTCATCATTCAACTTGTGATATAATGTGAAATAAAATATATTTTTTTTAACTTTACCGTTAACATGAACCTAGACAAATACATATATGCTTATATTCAATAATTCTAACATTAAAAAAAATAATATTAAAAATTACTATTTTATAAATATTAATGAAGTAAGCAAATTATCAAATATACATTTATATCAAAAATTGTTTTTTACTCTCAATAAATTTATACAAATAAAAATATTAATAATAGATAATTGTTTTAGTTCTTAAATTTCATAAAATTGTACATTATACGTATCTTCAAATTTTAATATTTGTTTATAAATTATCCATTGATATTTTAATTTAGACTAAATTATAACATATTTATTGTTTACAAAAATAAAAAAATGTTGTTTACAAAATATTCAAGAATATAATATTAAATTGAATCTATCAAATCCACTAATTTAAATTTATATAAAAATGGTTTGTCGTTTCAGAAAAAAATATAGAAAATAAAAATGTTAACAATGGAATCGTTACTTTAATAATTAAAAATTATGAATTTCATATGATATGTANACAAATATTTATGTATATATATATATACAAATATTTATGTATATATGTATGTAAAATATATATGTAAGTAGATAAATATGTATACAAATGTATGTGTATGTGTATAGTTGGGCCGGGTTCAAACTATCTAAGGGCTAGGCCCAGGCCCGAGCCCAGCCCATGTAAATTTTGGGCTGGGCCGGTTCAGGCTTGGATTGAGTGTGCCTAAATTGCACCCTTATTTGGTATTCAAAATTGGGTATTCGTGTGCATTAATATCATTGACACTTTTTTTTGTTATTTTTTTACATTTTTTTCATGTGATAATCATTAAGGCTCAGTTTGGAAAGAGTATAAATATAAATATGTATAGTATAAATACATACAAAATACAAGATTTTGTACTCTACAAATTTGTATTTATACTCCTTCCAAACTGAGCCTAAAGAGAATTGGACCCAAAGTTCCAAAGTTTTAAATTCCTACATAACCCCTCTGGCTCTATTCCTGATTTCTATATGGGCCAATCGCCTAAAATTACTTCACTTCTCCAAATGGTAGGATTCTTGGGCCTGGTTGGGTGGGTTAAAGCCAACCCAAGTCCAATTACCCAATCCCAGCCAAGGGTGTCTCCAACTACGGTGATCATGTGATGGGCTGGCCAGCCTGGCCCAACCCACGCTTTTAGACCTAGGAATGTTTTTTTGAGTTTTGACTTCAAGATGAGTGATAGACTTGATGAAATGGTTAACCTATTGTATACACTATACTCTAATCATTATAAAACACTAAGGATAGTGTGCCATTTAATGCTGTGATGTATGGTTTGTAAATCTAAAAAATAAAAAAGAAGTAAGATTATGCAATATATTCAATAATCTTGATGGAAAAAGCAGCACTTATCTCCTTGTTAATTATAGATGCAATTTGGGTGTTTCTAATTTAAGCTCGAATTGATCTAGCCGAAATTTTACTTGGGTTGGTTTTAGATTTTTGGTCTTTGGGTTGGGCTTAAACTCAAGAATTCAAGCTTTTTTATTTTTCGAGTTGGGTACCCAAACCTGGCTTGATTGTACACATTCATACATATATAGATATTGGGGGTGAGCAAAATGGGTAGATTCTACCCGAAACCAAATGGAACTGGCCCTATCCAATTTATTATAGGGTAGGGTCTGGTTCCAAATTCTTGGAACCGGCCCCCACCCAAGTCGGTTCTAGGGTCTAGGGGTTTACCCTACCCGAATCGACCTGATGAATCGGCCTTGGTTGGCCTTGAAACCGAACTTGCCTTGAAATAAACCCCATAAGATTTTTAAGGATGTCAACCCTGGTGTCACTTGACCATCGATTTAATTAAGTGGTTTGATCATTTGTTTTCATTTTAATATTTTCATGTGTATAATAAATAATGTAAAAGGTAATATTTACAAAATTTAAATTATAATGACATTTTCAACTATATATTAATATATTATGACAATCTATATATTAAATTACTCAATTTAATCAATAAAGATAATATAAGTTTTAAACTATATATTATCATTATTGAAAATCAAATTTTTGAAGGACATATTTATTTATTTTTCTTAAAGGAGGAGAATAAAGAAATAACAGGTTCTACGGGTAGACTCTAGAACCAACCCCATAACTTCCAAGGCCAGAGCCGACATTCGTAGGGTAGGTTCCAGTTCCAAAAACCTAAAACCGACCCCTACAGGGTAGTTTCCAGGTTCTGCTATGGAACCAAACCGAACCGATCCATACTCACTCCTATATAGATATATATTTACATATATACATACATATTTGTGTGTGTATATATTAGAGGGAGTTCATTGATTGACCCAAGCCTAGCCCAGGCCCAAACCCAACCCAAGTGTATCAAATTTCAATATAGGCTAGGCTTGAATTCGAAAGATCATGATTGATTTTGGGTTCAGCCTATACTTGGGCCTTAAGACCAAATCTTAGGATTGGGCCTGGGTAAATTATAAACCCAGCCCAACCCGCCTGACTTGCACCCCTATTCTTAATTCAAGTAATTCTTAAAAAACAAATCCTTACAAATTCTAGTCATTTACATTTAAGGCGCCACTCATATGGATCCACTGAGAATGCAAACTTGATGATGACATAGGGAAACCTGATTCATGTTTGTACTTTGATCATGCCAATGAAGACGAGAATAAAATATTTTTTATTCACTAGAATAAAAACAAGATTTTTAAACTATCCAAAATGATTGATAAAAAAAGCGCCAACAATTGCTTTGTATTTCTGCATTATTCATCTAATTCTATGGATGTGTTACGATTTATTTGTCCCAAATTAGTACGGGATGCTGTTGTGGGGTATATATGTGCTTGGGTTCTCTTCCTCAACAGCTAGCTTTTAAGGGTGAGTTCTCCTAACAAATGGTATTAGAGCCTACACTATGCCTCTCAGTTACAATTATGCGGCGTAAGTGATGATATCAGTATTGTAGTGTTCAATCGGGAGTAGGTGGATTAGTGCAAAACCAATTTGCATGGGTGCCGTGACTGCGAAAAGTGGTGAAATATTAAGATCTATTTATTCCATATTGATAGTATGAAATGCTAATATGAGATATCCCCATCGATAATATGAAATGCTGTTATAGGGTATATATGTACTTAGATTTCCTCCCTCTAACAGTTACCTTTTAGG